TCAGCATCAATCTGGATAACATTACAAGATAAAGTTTTTTATTGTTGGAATATGTTGTTTACTATAAATCAATTTCTTATTATATATAGTTATCGCTTGTCATGTCCCTTAGTTTGTTCTTTTTATGTAATGTCTCGTTGTTACATGGTCGATCCCTACAACATTTGTTCGACTATCACGAAACTATTCCTAACCGTTGAAGAGTTATAACCCTTTAAAATTGGTACTTTGACCATATTTTTTTCGGCGATTTTCATTTCTTCCCTTGAATCCCTTCATTTGATATTCATGTCGTGGTAATACATAAAAACACAGTTGAGAACTTTTTCATGAAACCTTTTCATTTGATCCGCCATAATGGATGTAGAATGACATCATTTAGCCCTGGTTCGCGGCGGGGCGGGCACAAAGAATGGTACCATAGTACATGGTCTGTTAACCATTCACCCACCAATCAGTAGACGCTCAATTTCCTGATCCTCTGAGAGGTAACCTGTAGCTATCCAGAGATTGGAGTGTGCAGCTCTGGAATCGACCGTCTTCTGGAATATTCCCTACGGCAGTCATAATTGCACACTGGAAAGATTCCGTTTGATTGGTCGATATTGAAATTGTTGGATGTTCAAGGTGCAAGATTCCTACCTTAATATACCCACATGAGGACGATTCATTAGATTTTACCATGCTTTTGCAGCTCTGAAATCGACCATCTTCTGGAATATTCCCTACGGCAGTCATAATTGCACACTGGAAAGATTCCATTTGATTGGTCGATATTAACATTGTTGGATGTTCAAGGTGCAAGATTCCTACCTTAATACCCACATGAGGACGATTCATTAGATTTTACCATGCTTTTGGTTTCTGTGAGTTATCATTTGAGCGTAAGTGTTTTTTGACCTGCTCAGGAGCAGTTCTTTTCCTATTCTGATACGGATTCTGTTTTTGCTGTTTGGGAAATTGGTGCAAGGCAGATTCAGGAAATATCCTGTTCTTGAGGAAGCGATAAGTCTCTTCTTGGCTGCACTACTTATATAGTCTCCTAGATTTGTCAACTAGATCAAGAGTTGGAGAACTGAGAAGCTGTAGCTCTTAATCCAAGGATCCCGCGAGTAGTTACTTGATACAAACTGAAACCGGTCGTAACAAATATTAAACTTGGTAGAAATTAGATAAAAGTATTTTCTTTATCCTATACTCACTTAGGAGGACTTTTACCTCCACGGCAGAAGTTTTATAACGCCCCCACTGCAGAGCACTGTGTCCACCCTCGAAGAAGAAAATTCTGGTTTATTTTGATGACATTTAGAAAATTGGATTTGGCCCCCTTTAATTGACAATTATTTCGAAACGGAGAGTTGTAAATTCAACTTTGTGATCACTTCTAAGGTAGATATCGATGTGTATTATTCAACCAATAGAAAATCGGTCTCTTTATGTGTGTCTAGAGGTGTGTGTGTGTAATGTATTCAATTATTCATTTTCGGTTTGTTTACTGTGATAACACAGACTCGTTGAAGATCGTCTGTGTAGTTACGTAAGGGATCAACCTCGTACAATTTACTTGTATGTCTTCACCGGTATTTGCAAGGTTTTCCTAATTCATAAGTGGAATGAGTGACCATAAAAAACGGGAAAATGGTTATTGAATTTTGTTCGTTACGTAAGTTATTTTAACAAAAGAATATTTTCATTTTGTTTTGATGCTTGTTGAAATGTTGTAATAATGTTACAAGAGCTGCCATCTATCAAAATCAAATTATCACCATGATTACGATTCTACTTTCAATACCAGCGACACATGAAGTGGCAGATTTTACTGCCGCCGGCAATAAAGGAAAATAACTCATGATTTTATTAATATTTGCATTTTTCACAATCGAATAAGAAATGGAGGAAAAAAGAGTGACAACATACTTGAAGGATTAATACTATTTGATATAAAAAACATAAATAACTTATAGGTACGCATGAGACTTATTTTTGATTTCACAAATACTGCAACAGAAAATGTCGATGTTAGTAGAGAGCTTGTTCGTATTACGACACATCAGATTGATTGGTGATTTCAACATTAAGCTAGTTTGTGCCCTTTTGCATAAAAAAGTATTGATGTGCCTAGAAGATATTCTTGGAACAAAGATATCAATTTCTGATAATAGTACAGGACAATCCAATTTGCCATTCAACAGTTTATATAGAAATAAAACAGATGCCTGATTTCTTCCTTTTTCTAAGGCTACAAAGTCAAATCTGCATAGCAGATCAGGATAATCACAGTTTCTTGGAGGATAAGTTCCGGTCATTCTAAAAGTAAGAAATTTTAAAAACTTCTATTGGACTCTATCAATTGCTAATGTTTATTGATGGTAAATAGGATTCCATATAATGGACCCATATTCTAGTTTTGGCCCCACCAGACTGAAATACAGAGAGGTCAAGGTAAGCATATTATGAACATTTTTGCAGTTCCTTATTATAAAACCGTATGCGCGGTAAGCTGAATTTATAATATGATTAATATGGTAGTTGAAAGTTAGTTGATGATCAAAAAAGATTCCTAGATCCGTAATATTATCAGCTCTTTCCAATATAATTTTATCGATGTGGTAAGGAAATTTTAGTGTATTAAGTTTTCTACTGAATGTAACAATTTTATATTTAGATATATTTAAATGGAGGCACCAATTTTGTAAAAGATCAATCTCCTTTTGCATAATGTTACAATCATCTAAACTGTTTATAGATAGATGTATATAGTTTCAAATCATCAGCAAACATTAATTTATTGCAAGTTATTGAATTGCACAGATCATTAATAAATAGTAAAAACAATAAGGGACCAATATTGGATCCTTGCGGGCCTCCGCTGGTTGCTAAATACACATCTGAAGAAAAGCCGCGATAATATACGTATTGATTACGTCCGTTAAGGTATAATTCCAAAAGTTTCATTGAAACCCATGCAAGAAAGTTTACAAATCAGTAACTTATGGCTGACCCTATCGAATGCTTTAGAGAAGTCTGTGTACACCACATCTACGGTCTAACGATTCACATAAATTTTGATCAAAAACAGCTAAATTACTGATGGTGGGTCTAGAGCTCGCAAAGCCATGTTGGTGATCAGATATTATTTGTCGAGAGGATTGATAGATACGACTATACAGAATTGCTTCTAGAAGCTTGGCAAAGTTGTTTAGGATTGAGGCAAATGAGGCAGTAACACCATAAAACATAAAAAAATCCACAAAATCGTCGATATGTGATAATGGAATTAAAATGATCGTCATCTGAGTGGAGATCAAATGGAGAACGTCGTCCAAACCGCCCGAAGGCACAATAATCGGCTGGAAAGGTTATGGCCTTGGTATTAATAATAATAATACGTCTTTATTATTTTCCACATACAGTACATCTATGTTAAAAAAATATTTTTAAGAAAAGTTGGAAAATAAAGTGCGAAGTTCATTTTCTCCAATGAACTTACTTACTTCATCAGGAATATGTTTTTCCACTTAACTCTATGTAGCATATTTTTCCTCAATAATTAAGGTAGTGAGTATGAACAATATATATAGAATACATAAATTACATTATTAGGTATAGTACGGTTGCAAGAGAACATGATTTATAATTTCACAAGCATTATCCACTAGTGGGGGAGGAAAACTGTAATAGATTTGGGTGTCATCTGAATCCTACATAACTTCAGAGATTTGATCAAATTGATAGTGTATATAGAAAAAAAATAACGGGCCCAGAAACGAGCCCTGAGGTACCCCTAATTTCAGTGTCAAATATTCAGATTGGACCATTTCAATTTCTACACACTGCTCCCTCTTAGTAAAAGAAAGGTTGCCATATCAGAAAAACCTATATAGCCCAAAATGTTAGGTAGCAAATCTGTATTTATAGTGTCAATGGGATGTACCTGATGTAATATTCATCGACTATCTTAAGAAGGGAAATACCATTAAAAGTAAATATTATACAGCGTTATTGAAGCCGTTATAGACAGAAATTTCAAAGAAACGACCGCATATGGCGAAGAAAAAAAAATTGTTTCATCAAGAAAAGAATGCCAAAACTACATGAATTGTATTTCGAATTGCTCCCACATCCACCGTATTCGCCCGATTTGGCTCCCAGGGACTACTGGCTGTTCGCAGACCTCAAAAATATGCTCACTGGTGAGAAATTTCGCTCGAATGAAGAGGTTATTGCTGAAACTAAGGTCTATTTTGAGGCTAAAGATGAATCGTTCAACAAAAGTGATATTGAAATGTTAGAGCGGCGCTGGAAAGAGTGTGTGTGTGATGATGAATAATGCCAATTCTGAACAAAAAAACGTGTTTTCTTTCTTAGGCCCGGGACTTTTAGGACTAGTTTTAAGATCTAAAGGTTTTTATGGATTAACGGATATCATGTAAAAGATCCAAAAAACAACAAAAAACTGTTAGGAATCAAACAGTAAAAGGTAAGACGTCGTTAGTGCTTAGCTCGCACAAGTTTCGACTTCTGAGGGTTGTTGTTGTTCGTAGGTGTGCGACAGCTGGTTAACAGTAAAACAGATTTGAAACAGATTTTTTTTAAACAGATTGACCTTGATGTCCTCAAATTTGTATGTGATCAAACATTGAGCAACAGATGAAACATAAATTTACTGTGCCAAATGCAAAATCCGCTACCAACTGAAACGTCTGGAAATACATTGTTATTTTAGGTCCGAAACGGTGAAGGGAGCCTCTCGCGCGACTTATTGGTGATGTCCTTCTTGAACGCTCTATATATTTTGTGGCGCGCTATATATATATATTACGTGTTGGATGATTCTTTCATTAAAAACTTGCCGTCCAACGTTGCTCTAACTTTCATTCATGCTGACCATGGCAGCTCTCGGATATTTTGTCAAAATGTCGGCAAACTTCTGTTTCTACAATCTTTAGGGAGCTTCTATATTTGTTATTCATACCATTATATTATTGTTTTCTTTTCAGGCTGCCTGGGGTGAGCGACTGCTCGGCCGGCCAAACGGCCCGGGTTACCTCCAATCTGCATCCCACGAGTACTATGGCCGTGAGTCGGGTGCCAAGTCCACCGCCTCAAGAGGTCAATACCCCGGTAGCAGAAAATTGGTGTTATACTCAGGTAAGAATCGATGCCTCTAAAAGGGGTGCAAATAAAATTTTTAGAGTACTCGTTTAGTAGGGATGGGAGGGAATGACATTTTTATTCAGCAAAGAAAAAGAAAATGGTTTCATGTTGTTGAGTTGCTGTGAAAAAGACACGCGAGTCTCTCCAAAATTCGATACTGAGATTCTCAACCAAATGCAGCACTTCAGTCAACATTTTAATCGTTCCATGTATTGGTTCTACATCAGCCAAGATTGTGTATCTTTTATGTGGCTTTAATTTTATTAACTTTGAAATAGTCTCTAGCATTCGTGAACAGTCGATATTACCTGAAAGATTTTTTTGTAGGAATGTTTCATCATTGACACATCTTTTGTGGCTGAATATTAATAATTGTTTCTACTTTGACATGCTCATATTGCTCTCGGTCCTCGGTGTAAACCCAATTTATTAGCACAGCATGTCAAAAAATATTCTGGCACTATTTCAATTTGTTCAACATAGCAATCATAGTGTGGAGACCAGACAATATACCCATACTCTAGAACGGGTCTAACATGAGAACAGTAGAGCATCTTCATTGTGTTATGACTGAAGTCTTTGCATGTCCTGAAGGTGAAGCCCAACATTTTATAAGATTTTGCTGTGATTTCATTAATATGGTTACAAAGAGTGAATTTAATCTTCCTCTTGAAGATGATCACTTGGTGTTCGAAACACGTGTCTTGGTGGTTCAAGAAGCTCTTGAACCAACTCAACAAATGACCGTTGAAACTAAGAGAATCAATTTGGACATCATGGTGTACCCTCTCAAAAGCCTTGGAAAACCAACCTTAGATTTATTTTCAAAATGTAATAGAATATAGTTTGGATACAGTAATAAAATTGTACTGGTTGATCTTCCCTGTAAAATGCTTTATTAAGTACAAATTAGACCTTTGGAATATGGCTTACTTATATGGGGCTTGTAGAGAGGACTGGCAAATGGGCCCACCGGTAAAAGCGGAAGAAACTTGGTATACAGATGGCTCAGAGACCCAAGAAGAAGTGGGAGCCAGTATATACGGAGGCGGAGCAAAGACGAGAATCACACTCAGCCTTGGGTTTTATTGCACTTTTTTTCCGGGCTTAGTTGGGGGCCTTGGACCCTTTTTTGGGGGAATTAACTTGGCGGAGGTTTCCAATTGCCCCCTTTGCCTTTTTTTCGGCCGGCCGGGCGGCGTTTAGGGGTCCCGGTTCTTTTCAGTTTTTTTCAGGCTTGTGGGAAGCTGTCTGAGCGCACTTAAGGAGCTAAATAGGGTCACTTTAGCTTGGGTACCCGGACATGAGGCTCACAAGGGCAATGAGTAGGCCGATGTTCTAGTCCATGAAGGCGCATCCAAGACTATGATCGGCCCAGAACCCTTCTGCGGGGTAGCGAAAGCATGAATAAAGACATCCATAAATTCATGGATGCAAGCCGAATCGATAGACTGCTTCCAGGAATGAGGCAAGCGAAAGAGTTCATAAAGAAACCATCGCCCGGATTCACGGAAAACCTGCTCAACCACAACTGTAAGGCTGTAAGGGTAATGGTGGGTCTACTAACGGGGCATAGCCGACTCGGGAAACATATGAACAATATGGGTCTGACAGAAGAAACCCAATGCGAAATGTTTGCAAGGCTGAGACACGCAAGATGCGGGGAAGACAAACCATAGGCTGCCAGCTATATGAAGGGGTCAGTGCCAAGCTTATGTAGTCTTATCAAAGAGATCAAGCTAAGCCAGACAATGAGCTCTAACAACCAAGGAGCATCACAATAGATCTGAAAAGGTCGCACTGAATCAGGCCATGGGCTAGCTCCCCCACAATCTAATCTAATCTAACAGACTTTGAGACACTGCCTCTGCATGTGCTCACAATCATATATACATATTTAATTGTAAAACATATTTTCAAATCATCTGCGAAGCAAAGCGGAAAGCGAAGCTATCAGAAAAAGAAGCGGGCCCAAGTTATATCTTTAAAGAACTCCCAAAGTAGCAGAATCAGTATAAGAATTATATCCATCCATTGGAGATTCTAAAATAAGGGGGTGGGGGTCTGGGGATAACATGTTAGATGGGCATAATAATGTCTGGTGAAACAGTTTTTCTTCGGAATAAATATTGACGGGTTTGAACGAGATACATTTTTGTTTTGTCTACGATTCCAGAGATGAATTGAGTAAGGAGCTTGCTGTGGACACACTACATCTATTTTAGACTATTCACATGATTTATTCCACATTTTATATTATTAAATGACAGATCTGGTATTTTTTTGAGATGTTATACTCAATTATACACCGTATAATGAATGTTGATGATATGATGATCCTCAGTTTTTATGTCGAGGTCTCCAAATCAAAGGTAGCAGAGCGGATTAATTTGTATAAAATGTGAATCTATTTATAGTGGATTTTTAAGTAGTAACGTCAAGATTAAACGAACATTGATTATGCTCCCAATTTGAAACAACTTTTCATCTTCACCGGTAAAACGAAACCAGGTCATTCTTTTTAACCTCAGCGTTGCAGTTATGAATGTAATCGAATCCCCATCACAAGAGTGATACACAATGCAATAGATAGTTGATCCGCCTCCTCTCACCGTTTCGTCAATACTATCTCAACTACCTAATTCCGAAAATAAAAACGGATTGCTTCGAAAAATATGGCTGACCTTGTTTTCGATTGGATTTATCGAAAAATTGTGTTTTATTTAGGTAACCGAGAAAACGATGCTGGTGTGCCTGAAACACAGTTTTGCTCTTCTATAACCTTAATTCGAATAATCGCGGAACAAAAGTAGAATCGATTCGTTTGTTGCCAATAGGGTATTTTATAATTATTCCGGTTGATACATTTGGCGAGGGATGAAAAGTAGGCTGTTAGTTTGATTCTGACAGTTTTCAGTAGGAATAAATTAAAGGCATTCGCCAAGGAAACGTCTCAAAAAACTCAGCTGAGGCTACGAGACTCCGCCGGACCCTTACCTCCGCCTCGGCATATGTTTCAACATTTTTTTTTATGCTGTTTGGGTGGCAAGAAATTTTATTTTATTCATATAGGCAAAATTTATAAATGCGATAATTTACTGACTATTACGATATATATTACGCTGTAACTTTTCGGGGCGAACTTTTTCGTTTTTTAGATTTGTTTATTTTTCATATTGTGAAAGATAAAAAAAGCAGAAAATGTCGAGGAACCTTATTTTACCTAGTTTGCCTTTCATTAATTTAGATTAACAACGGGTATTTTTTATTTAATGAATTCCTATTTATTTAATGAATTCCTATATACTTCTCCATAATTGAACAAAAAATGTGGGTAACTTCCAAAGAATGGAAAAATAAATAAATACAATGAAAACTATTTTCAAAGATGTGTAGAGAATATGCATAGAAATTAGTTTTAGATTGAAACTGGACGAAAACATCTTTTCGTATTGATAATTTAATGTTCATAGTCCGGTCAATTTAGACACTTGAAGCTACCTGAATTCCCAACAAGCTGAAAATCAGTAAGATTGTTTAAAATATGATTAAAAATTAAATTTGAAAGTTCCCCATCTTTCCCCTGTTTGGAAAAAAATTTATTCAATGTCAAAGGTCAAAAAAAATAGTTTTTCGCGATTTTCAGCAAAACGGTAAGTTTTATCATAAAAATACCTTAGACAAAAATTGTAGATCATAAAATCATCTACAAAAAATGTATCAATACTTTTTTTACTATGAGCCAGTTTTTGAGATATAATGATTCAAAAAATTGTAAAAGTTGTAATCGTCATAATATGCACACGTTTCCACGCCACTTATGAGGTAGTGTACCTAGCGCGTTTTTTTAACGTGGTTTCCCCTGTGGGTCTATTCCACGGGTCATGATCCTGTTTAATTTGAAACTATTGTAAAATAATGGATATTAGCAGAGATTGAAAAGATGAAAGCAATTTAAGTGTAACTTATTTTATTTGTATTTTCTTATATCAGTTAATTGTTCATCACTATGTATAAGTTGTTTGATAAATATCATAGGTTGTTTGAGAATTAGACAGTCATGTTTCAACTAATACCAGTATTATACTTAAACATGAATTTCATATCTTCAAAAGATTTCTCCTTTCATTGATATTTCAGGATGACCTTGATAATGCTGTAGTAGATTGGTGTAGGTCAATTGAATGATTATGAAGATTTTACCGTTGTGAATCACGAATTATTTTTGACTGGCAGGTTAATTATGTCTAGCTTGTACCAGTTTTGTGTTTGGTTTGGAAATATAGGTTTTCCATTATCTAACTCATTTGTGACTGTTATTATTAATTCGTGGTTCATTACATTCTGTTAGACTCTTATAGAAAAATGAATGTATGTTCTTCGCAATCCACAAGGATGTATAATTTTTGTGTTGGATTAATCTAGTTTCAAATTGTAATGAAAGGAGACTAGGTCAGATTTGATACGATACATTTTTGTATATCGAATCGAGGGATTCGGCATTTGTAAGACATTTTTTTAAAAAGTCCGTTAATTTTTGATAGGCTTGTAGAATGGGTGGTTGTGCAATACCTCTTTTGAAACGTATGCCTATTAAAAAAAAATAGAGTTTATTCTATGATTTTCACTATAAGGCTTCTTCAAGCATAACTAGTTATGCTTGAAGAAGCTATTGTATAGCGAAACACGTGTCGCGGTTTTTGTAAAACCCTTATAGTGAAAATCATAGAATAAACTCTATTTATTAGTTTTTTAAATATGGATTTTCATCAAGTATCGGCCAGTTCTATTCAATCATCCTTACGCTAGTTGCACACACATCGATTTTGGNTAAAATTGAAAGGGGTATATTTTTAGTAGAGATAAGTTTTTGGGAAAGGTTTTTGGCTTTCTGCTTTTTCATCTTCATACAAAAAATGTAGGAAACTTAGGAAGGAAGAAAGCAAGAAAGTAAGTTCTTAATAAACTCTTTACAAAGTGTATATCATGCATAG